AAGCCGGAAGTGGCGCTATGGCTCAAGTGGTAGAGCGCTAGCCTTGAGCTGAAGAGCTGAGGGACAGTGCCCAGGCCCAGAGTTCAGGCCCGACGACCAGACCCAAAAAAAAAAAAAGAATGTAAGGAGAGTATCAGTAATCTTCAGCTATCATTATAGTAAAGTATTGAAGTGATATGTAAATTAGACAGTAATTATCACTGAATTTTATTATGATAAAGTACATTTAAAGGTATTTGTTAAGAATTTCCTTAACATGGTTCCAAAGCATTATATAAAGCTTAGGTTTTCCTTCAAATTTGCCATAATTTTATTAAACTACATAGGTTCTAGTAATATCCTACTGCTATACTGCTTAGGATTAAAGACAAGGACTTATTACATGAAATGGATATCATAAGAACACAAATGAGGAGAATAAGTTCACCAAAGGTTGCAAATATAGTTTTTAATGTAATTCTATGTCATTAAATAGTAATTTAATATGTACATGCACTTTAATTCCATATAAAGTCTTTGTGTTTTTTTTTTTTTTTTGTCGGTCCTGGTGCTTGAACCTCATGGCCTGGGCTCTTCTTTCTGCTCAAGGTTAGTGCTCTACCTCTTTGAGCCACAGCACCACTTTTGGAGATAAGAGTCTTAGACTTTTCTACCTGGGCTGGCTCTGAACCAGGATCCTCAGATCTCAGGTTCCTGAGTCGTTAGGATTATAGGCATGAGCCATCAGCCCCCAGCCCATCATAGAGGTCTTTAAATCTTACAGAAAATTTTGTCTTAAAAATGCATTACATTCAATCCAAACAATCCACTTGCAACATACCTATCTCCTTCATTCTAAAATAATGAAAATATTAGAATTCTACTTCAAGTATTTGCCTTTAATAGATGACAACCATATTTATTGCACTGAAGTACTTTTAGTTTTATTCTAATGTCAGATAGGTTTTCTAGTTCCAAGCTCAGTTCTCTACTTTTTGCTCCTTTTTACCTCCTTAGCTTGCAAAACTCATTTATTTTCATACCATCAATACCATCTCTACATGGTGGCTCAATAAACTACCTTCTGCCTAAGTTTTCATCCATCAGGTTCATCTTTTGAATATTTGGTCAGATAAATTTCATTTGGATGGGCTGGGAGGGTGGCTCAGTGGTAGAGTGCTGCCTTGCATGCATGAGGCCCTGGGTTTGATTCCTCAGCACCACCTAAGCAGAAAAAGCCAGAAGTGGTGCTGTGGCTCAAGTGGTAGAGCGCTAGCCTTGAGCTAAAGAGGTGAGGGACAGCACCCAGGCCCAGAGTTCAATCCCCATGACTGACAAAAAAACAACAAAATTTCACTTGGATGTCCTAGTAATTTTTTTTTTTGGGGGGGGGTTGGTTGTAGGGCTTGAACTCTGGGCCTGGACACTGTCCCTGAGAGCTTCAGCTCAAGGCTAGTACTCTACCCCTTTGAGCCACAGTGCCACACTTCTGATTTTCTCATGGTTAACTGGAGATAAGAGTCTCATGGACTTTCCACCAGGGATGGCTTTGATCTCAGATCCTCAGATCTCAGCTAGGAGTAGCTGGATTACATGTACCCAGCTTATCCTAGTAATTTTGAAAACAAGCAGAATCCCCAAATTACTATTTATCTCTCAAAATATCTTCCTTATGAAATAGTTATGCTTTTTAATAGTGGTATAATTGATTCAGGCATAATTCTTCTTTATATATAAATTGTCATCATTAATGAATTGTCTATATTAATGACATAGTATCAGGTTTCTTATTATGAGAGCCTCCTATAAAAAAAGCTGCAGTCTACAGAAGTGGAATATTTCAAGAAGACAAATAAACAGAGACAGACAGACAGACAGATAAGAGTACACGAGTGAGAGTGAGCACATCCATTTCAGGCCTCACTTCCTATCAGTATCTACATGTAAGCCCTAATATATTCATTTTCCATTCTCTAAACATCTGAGAATGAGATCACTTGGTAACAACGTCTCCCAAATTTCTTGTCTACAATCACCTGTGACCAAACTTTCTGGAACACTTTGACTCATCATACATAGAGGTCCCTTACACTCCTCTGTCTCCCCTATCAGATAGAAGTGACACAATGCAGTCTAACAAAGTCTGATTGTCTAGACCAGGGATGAATGAGGAGGCAATGTTCTCTGTTAGAATTAGTGCAAAAATGTGATAGTTTATCAGACTGTGCACAAGGAATTTGTGTCCTAGTATTTGCTGACTGGAAACAGAGACTAAATCAGCTTCTGTAACCCAAGAAGAATCTATGACTTCTATGTCTCTACTTGTGTAGTGAGTCTGGTTTTCTTTGTTTGGTTAATGAACCAGGGCATTTTCTTTACATAAGAAATAAACTTACCAGTGATCTTGTACCCATTGCATCATGCAGTCTGGGCATATCAACATTTTGACTCATTCGAGATATCATGTGCATTAAGAGCTGAAGTTTCCTACGGTTTGGCGGGGGGAGTAACAGACAACATAACTGTAGTGCGTTGATGGCAATTCTCTCTAAGTGAGGTTGCAGCATGCCTAGAAGATAAAGTCACCACCCCCCCAAAAAGAATCATCAATGATACTAACTTCCACACAACTAACATATGCAGTTATAGGAGAGGGTAAAATAATCTCAGTATTTAATTTAACTACTTCTAGAAATGTATACATTCCTCAAAAGCATAGCAAAACTTTCATAACCTGCTTTTAAGTATCAAAATCCTTTCTTACTATCAATAGTGACTTCGGATAAGCGAAAGAGAAAATTGCTTTAAGGATAAAGAATAAACCTTGATCACCTCATGGCAGAAGTTTTTATAATAATTTTGGAAGACTAAAAGGCATTTCAGAGAAGAAAAGCTAGGTAAGCCAAACAGAGAGTTAGTAAGCACTAAGTTAATACTGCATGCATCGAAAGCAATAACCTTACTTTGTGTGCCAGTCAACACAGAAGAAGCTGGAGGTAAAGAATTTTCTGAAAGTTCTATTGTACTTTTGCACAGTCTTTTATTGATTGTGGTACTAAACTCTCCAAGTCCACTTTCCATAGCTGTTTGGTCACTTGTATTGCACTTTCCGAACTTTGGTTTCATGATAATTTCAGCCACTGGCATATTGATATAACTATTCCGTCTTGTACTACTTCTTAAAAGCAAACTCTGAGATCTACAAAGCTGTTTTGACTTGCATTTCCCATTACATAACTCTTCTTGGTCTTGAACTGTCAAAGTAGAGGTTCTTTTAAAACCAACACAGAGTGGCTTTTGAATATTTTCCTCTGAATGATGATTTAATAGGGATTCTTGTTTGGGATTTAACTCTAAAAACTGTTTATGCTGTTGTTCTTCTACTTTTAGAAGAGCGTGATGGAAGACATTGGACACCTTTTTTCTTGAGTTCCCTGGCACATCTACAATTCCTTCCAAAGAAGAGCACCTTGTTTTGATGTTGGAGGACAAAACATGCATACTACTTAAAGGGCCTATTAAATTATGGCAGCTTCCTCCCATTATGTCATTAGTATTGCCTCTTCTATTTCTTAAATTAACTAGCTGCATTTTCTTAGCATATCTTTCTTGAAATTCTTGGTCACTTATTTGTAGTTTCTCAGTTGAATCTGATTCTTCTTTGTTTTTGTCTTTGTGAAGCAGACTGAGAAGAAGACACTCAGTTGATTTGAAGGAATTCAAACTGTTTAAGTGAAGGATTTTTGAAGACTGTGGATCATCTTGGATTTTATGTATCCCACTGGGTCTATCTGAAACTGTGATGTAGCCACAAACAACTACCAGAAAACGAGACAAAAATTAAGATGCAACTGTATGATGGTGGGCAAAAATAAAACAAAACAATAGCAAAGTTAAAAAATAAAGCATCATTATAGTGTATATATATTGTTAGTATAGTACAAATAGCAGTTGCTTAATCTGAAAGCCACTTAAATAAGACACATGCAGCATTCAGTTATATACGTGCAAGACTATTTTGTGATTTAATTAAAAATTTATTTTATTAGCCTAATTAAATAGATTGAGCTGGAATACACTTAAAAACATCTATCATTCTGTAACCACTAGAAACCTCTTAATCATGACAAGTGTGGTATAATAGAATATATAATTATCCTGTGGTCCCAATAGGAAAATTGGTTTGAGGACTGATGACAGACACCAAATTCTGTAGATGTGCAAGTCTTTTATATGAAATAGTGTAATATTTGCATATAACTTAAGCATATCCTCTCTCATATTAAAGTCACCCCTAGACTACTTATAATACCTAAAATAATGCAAAAACTATGTAAGGAGTTATACTGGTAAGAGAATAAAGACAAAGAAAAAATTCTGCTGTTTAGTACAACTGCAATTTCTTCTTGAGTATTTTTGACTCTGGGCTGGTTACATCTAGGATGTAGAAATCAAAGAGATGCAAGCCACTGCCAACTGTACTAATTTATCTGTTTTCTGTTCTTGGCTCCTGGCACAGAGCACCCCAAATCTTTGAAGTTTCTTGAGTGATAAATTCTGTTATATTCATGAGGAGCCTATTTGAGCACATTTGAATTCATTCTAAGGTAACTCATGGTTGGTTTTGTTTAGTATTAGAACTCTTAGTCTACCATCTCTTGGCTAAAAATGGGGGCTGGAGATTGAGTTTAATATCAAAGGCCAGTCAGTAATTTTGAATAATCATGCCTAGGTAATGAAACTTGAATTAAAACCTTAAAACAATGAAGCTAAGGGTGCTTCTGTACCATTTCACATTCCCAATCTGTTACATACATCTCTTCCCTGTAGACCTTGCTCAATTCTCTCCTTTTGCAATAAATTATACTTAGTTGATATAGGAACAAGTGATATTGGAACAACATAACTGAATCACTAGAAAATGACTCAATAGCAACCTCAGTATCACTGAAGTCTGAAGTAATTTATAGCCTGACACTTTTATATTTATCTACGTTTTTAGATTTTAGGAAACTTTAAACAGAATGAATTTATATAAAAAGTAAAATAAACATACCCAAAATATTCACAAATAATTCATAATATTCAAACGTAAGTAGAGGTTCAGGGAGATCTAGAAAGTAATCTGCAATTGTTTTGAATACATCTCGTTCAAATCCAACATAAGTTGGATTATTTGTATCATTACTTCTTGGCCCTATGAAGGCAAAAGAAAGAGGCAAATGTATTTTAATTTAAACACAATTTAAAAATAATACTTAAACATATTTCGTGGGAAAGTTATGCTTGACAACAAATTCTGCCACAATATTAAAAATTAAAGGATTGTTCACATCTCATTCCTTATCAGATCATTTGACTAGAAATCACTATAAGCAGTCAACTGCTATTTAGCTATCAGTTGCTATTTTACCAACTATTCAGAGAGCAAATATGTATCTTAAAATGTTTGAAAAAGCACTTGATAAAATTGACAAATGTGATTACATCAAACTAAAAAGCTTCTACAAAGGAAATAAGTCTCTACAAAGAAGAGACAGCCTACAAAATGGGAAAAATTCTTTGCCAACTACAAATCTAGGAATAACTAGAAACTACAATGAACTCAAACACTAAACTGCAAATGAACCAACAATCCAATTATGATAATTCTTGAAAGAAGTACAAGTGGCCAATAAATACATGAAGAAATGCTCAACATCTGGCCATAAAGAAAATACAAATTAGAACACTGACTTTTTGTTTCACACTTGTCAAAATAGCTACTCTAAATAATAAATATTGGTGAAAAGACTGGTAAAAGGGGATCTTTAGATACTACCAGTAGGAATGTAAATTAGTGCAGCTTCTATGGTGGTTCCTCAAAAAACTAAACATAGAACTATCAGATGATCTAGAGAGACTACTCTGGCAGATATATGAAGACTGTCAACAGAAATTAGCATTCTTATATTTATTGCAGTACTATTCATAACAGCCAAAAGGCCCTTCAATTGCTGAACAGATACAGAAAATGTAGTATATGCACAATGGAGTAGAACTGCAGAATTTAGACCTATATATTTATAAACATACCAGCCCAGAAACATGGTTGAAATTAAGGAAATGTCTAGGGGATTAGAGGGAGTGGAAGAAAAGAGAATGATGAGGGTAAACATCATGTCTATATACAAAAAGGGCACAAAGCAACCCAGTGAAAAATGTTGAAAACTAAAGGAGAGGAGAATCAGGGAAAGGAGAGCAATAAAGGGACTAATCCAATCAATGTAAAATATGTTTATGAAATACTAGATAAAACTCCTTTGTAAAAATCCTATACACAATTTTTAAAAAAGCCCTAGGAAAATCTATTTTAATCCAATCATTTTGTAAAGCAAAGAACATCTGGATACTGCAGACAATTCTTCCAATTTTGTTTTTTGTAAATTTTAATGATTTTTTGTGAAAAAAATTTGCCAGGAGCATACCGTTAATGAATTGAAATAACAATTTAAACAACAATTTCTTAAGCCTAATATTATTACTGAAAAAAATCATAATTCCTCGTTTGTGTTTTCCTCAGAAATAGTATCTGATCACAATTTACAGTTAAGAAAACAGAAGGTCCAAATAATTTTCCCAAGATGAACAAAGCTCTTGGAAGCTAAGCTAGAACTAAAACTTAGTTAAGTATAACTTGAAAGCCAGGTCAGAACTTTTAGATCTAACAACATTTATAGTGTGGTCCACATATTGTATGTATCAGAATCATCCAGTTCACTGACTAAATCCAGCCAGGCAGTTAGACACTTGCTGACCTAGAAGTGGTTGCTCTGATTCACTACTTGAGACATAGCTAAACAAAGACCTGGAATCTTCATTTTAAGAATCTTTTGGAGCAGTTGGAAAAAACAAAACAAAAAACCCACTATGTGGGTTTTTTTTGATTTACCCAGTAGAATCAAATCAAAACCTTAGGAGTATCCTTATTGACTGACATGCTTTCAGATTTGAGAATCACTTTCCAATTTGTCCAGCTAAAAGTATCTTCCCAAACCCAAATAAATTATTTTACACTACACTACACAACACACACACACACACACACACACACACACACACACACACACACACACACACACAGAGTTTACAAGCTAACATGGATTTGTGCAAACTGATGTTTTTCTAGGGAAGATAAATGAAATATCCTTAGTATTAAGAGTAAAATTATCTGATAACTAGTAGTAATTTTTCTAAAAACCATGGTTTACTAGAAATAAAGACTGTTTATATTTCACAGAATTATTTCAGCAGATTAAATAACAAGGAAAGTAAAACTCTTAAAATATGGCATATTGTTAAGCACACTGAAAACTAGTTACATATTGTTTACATATCTAGTATTATTTAGGTCTAATAAGGACTGAGAAGACAGGGAAGACAGAAACCCATAAAGATGGACATCAGAGAATCCCCTATTAGTATATTTATGAGTTGTTAACCACAAGCCAAGGAATGAGAGTAGTTGAGTAGGAAAGGCAAAAAAAGAAACTCAAAAGTCTTAAGCTTATGATCAGGATTTTTATTGTAATGTTATACGATCAAGATCTTTATTGTAATGATATAAGTAAAATGTTTCTTAACTTATTTGTCACTATTTATTCTGATACTTTGTCATATTGACACCCAGTGGACAACAAAGGAGTAAGTACTTAACCTGTACATTTCTAACACCTCATTAATATTTTCAAAACTACTGATTTTATAAGAACTAGAATACTACATCCATAACTAGAATTATTAAAATATAATTTAACTCATCCATAACTAGAATTATTAAAATACAATTTAACTCTTGATAGGGAAATGTATCAAATGTACAATTTTTGCAAAGTAGTAAAATCTATTTTGAAAGCAGTGTTTGGTACTTGAATCAGTCTTAAATGGTAAGTAGTCATTATTATTGATCACCATTACTAAAAAGTGATCTGTGGATTAATGACAGAGTTTACTTTATATAAACATAAACATCCTATTAATATATGGAATATTACAAAGCACCTTAATATTGAAGCCATGTACAACTGTGAGGACTGAAATGGGTTTCATAAAACTTCATTGCTGATTGAACCTTTTACTGACATGCTATTTTACTTCCAAGCTACATTTGAATCTTCTGTGCCTTACAGAGGGAATTACTGTACTGCAGAATTTTCCTAAAAATCCTCTGGCCTATATTTTATGATTGATGTGAACTGAGACATATAGGGTGGACTTGAATTATAAAATCATCTTCAGTTTAATAAATATTTAGAGACCCATAATGTAACCTTGACGATCATTTAAAATTTAAGAAACAGTTACAGACTCTAATAATAAATCGTTTAAATATTCTTTGATTCTTGTTAAATACTACTAATAAAAAAAATACATACGTAGTTTTCAACTTACAATTTGCTAGGCACTTCATGGCAGATAATACCCAGTGAGGAAGGTCATCTAGGTATAAGCATTGTAGAGTAAACCACATAAATTTTATGACAGTAAATTTTAAAACTTTACACTTGTCTATTTTATATTTATGTGCATAAAATGAGTGGCAATGTAAAATATGTAATCAATGTAAAATATATAAAATGTAAACTTGAGTCTTGGCCCCACAAACATCTCAATCCAACTTCAGTAGTGAAGACGAGACTCAAACCCAGGCACTCTCCTCACCAGACAGAGCCATGTACTTAATCACACCTGTGGGTGCTATTGATTCCTTGCCACAGGAATGTGAGGGTAGGGGATGACAAAGGCCACCCACAAATAGAGTATCATTTGAAGGTGAGCTTTGCAAATAGAAAGACCAGGATAAAAGACCCCGCTCTGGCATTTACTAACTTGTGACATCATAGACAAGTCATTTTAATTCGTTTTCCTCCATTTCTGTATCTGTAAAATGGAGATAATCATTCCCTCATAGAAGAGCAAGTTCCCAGCAAGGTACAGGTGGCTCACTCTTGTAATCCTAGCACTCAGAAGGCTGAGATCAGAGGATCAAGATTCAAGGCCAGCCAAGCAGGAAAGTCTGTGAAACTCTTATCTTCCCATTAACCACCAGAAAACCAAAAGTAGTGCAGTGGCTCAAAGTGTAGAACACTAGCCTTAAGCAGAAGAGCTCAGGGACAATCTCTAGGCCTGGAACTCAAGCGTGACAACCAAAAACAACAAAAGGGCAGGTTCCATGCATGTGTTTAGGACAGTATGTTACGGCTGAGATCTCAGGATTGAAGTTCAAAGCCACCCCTGGCAGCTAAATCTGAGAGACTTATCTACAATTAACCAGCAAAAAGCCAGAATTACAGGTGTGGCTCAAATAATAGAGTGCCAGTACCAGGTAGCCACCCACTGCCTTCTCTGCAACCTGGCACAGGCCCAGCACAAATGGTAGTGAGAAATAAAAACAAAACAAAACAACAGAAAATGTGTATGCACATGTGAACGTGTGTGTGCTTATTGTCAGGATGGAAATTTATCATTTACTAAAAAGGTATTCAATCAGGTAATATTTTAAAATACAGAAATTTGTAAAAGTAATAGAGAGCTTGATTCGACTCCATTCACAATATAGAAAAACAACACCATGTCCAAATCATAGACTATTTTAGTGTGAGGGGTGGGGTTTCATATAAAAACTTCTAATATTCATCTTATCTGTCTTCCTATCTGTCTTTTCCTATGTTGAAAGGGTGAGACCAAGGACTGAAATGAAGTATACTAAATATTAAATATTAGAGTACTTCACAGTGAGGCTTTCTTAAAACCTTTTAAATATCACTATTTCTATCTTGCTTACCACTAAATCTTTAACACAATGTCTGGAACACTGTAGGCCCTCAACACCAATGTGATTAATCACTATTTTTTATGTTTGTTTTTGGATAGCTTTGGCATCTAACAATTTCTTCTAATTCCTTACATGAATATGCAAGTAAAGTTATTTCATTACTTAATTACTAAAGCACCCATAATGACAAAGCCGTAGATTTGATGCTACCGTGATGGAAGTAGTCTAGTCCATTTTTCACATTTGTTCTGCCTTCTCCTATGAGTGCAACTTTTGTTATTAAGTTGGAAGGATTCCAATTTCTTTAACTGACACCTACCTGATTTGTCTTGTAGTACAACAACTCCATGCTTACTTGTGTTAGCCATGTTGTACATTATATATTGAGGAATTATTTGGTTTGGATTTATGAGTTCTTCGAGAGATGGCACACCTAAAATAGTTTGTAGGCTAAAAAAAGAAAGAGTACAAACTTTTACAGATTCCATAAAAGAAGAGAAATAGAAGGTAATTATGAATGATAGACAAACATACAAAACTAGAGCACTTAACTTTTCTCCTAACCAAATTTCCAAGGATTATAATTAATCCTCACTTTTAAATATTTCTCAATAAAACTGATAGAAATCCAACACAGACTCCTGACTATAACCAATACAGACTCTGAACTACAGCTATGACTTTAAGAAAAAGCAAACTGTACTGAAAACTTAATTCAATTCCATTAGCAAAAGCATTTACTAGAAAACATACATACAGGTTTAAATTCTAAGCTTTAAAAATGACTATTCTTACTTATTTGAATATTTTGACAAAAACATCAGTCATTTAAATGCTTCAGAAACTTGATTATAGCTTAGATTTATCTTACTAGATCAGAATAATATATTTCCAAACTTCTTCAACATCTTCTTGTCTTATTTCTCTATTATCTGTAGGGTTTTCTTGATCTTCACTGGTTATTTCATGATTTATTTTCTCTATATTTTCCTAAAAAAAAAAATCACTTTGGCTTAGTTTGTTTTATGCTCCAATTAAGGAATTGTTGAACAGATGTAAATTTTAATATTTAGTAGTTTTATTCATATATGGCTATTGTTGATCTACAGTGTTATATGAAAATATAATGGTACATATGGTAATAGTTTTTGCAGCTATCAATACCACACTCATATCAGACATCCAAATCAACTTTATTTCTAGGTACTTTAATTCTGTAACCATTATAAAAGAGTAGAAACAGAGAGATCTGTTGAAGAGTTATGTAGAAATTCCAAAGCTATGGTTTTGATCTTGAAGTACCACAAAGGCCCATGTGTTTATAAAGTCTTGGTTTCTAACATGTGCTATTAGGAGATGGTGGAACCTTCAAGAGGGAGTCTTGTTAAAGGCAGTTCTGTTCAAATTGGGACCATGCTCTTGGAGCAGGTATTACCATCCTGATCCCTTTCGTCTCTTTTGCTTTTACCTTCTTCAGCTGCCATGGGCTGAGTAGTTTCTCTGCTACCTGCCCATATAATTAGGCCCCAAAGCAATGAAGCTGAGCATGGGTGAAAGCACTTGAAATCATCAGTCACAATTAACTTTCTCCTTTTATTAATTCTCAGATATTTCATCACAGTGGTAGAAAATTAACTGTCGTACCAGGTAACACAATAATTTGAAAAAAAAAAACACTGCTAAGTTTTGTATCATTTGCAAACATGTCTTACTTTTATTTCCTGGGTTCTAAATACATTTACATACATATTTTTAGAGTGTAATCTAGGCTAGGAGATTTCAGTGTTGGCTTCAAATATAAAAGATTTACTTCTAATGAGCCTTTTATCAAGTACATGGTAATCATATTTTAAAAAGTGATTAGTAAAAGGACATTTTACCTGAGAGTAAAGTAATCCATGCTTCTTAGGAGTTCTGCGAGATAAGTTGCGTAATTTAAAAATGCTCTCTTTATCTTTGGAAAAGTTTTCTATGTTGTTTTTTCTCAATTCTGGATGCCTTCGTGGAAGACTTTTAAGTGGAGAAGTTGGAGGAAATCTGGTTTAAAAGTAATATGTATTTAAATAATCTAGAAACTTTTAAAACTGATTTCAAAAATTATGCAAAGAACCTGATTTATTAACATTACCAAAGAATGAGGATTCTACATAAATCAATTTTCGATGATACATTTAAAATATTTTAATAGTTCCCTGCTTATATTCTGAGTATTTTATTGATGAAAATTTAGGGTTACCACTTGGATCAATTCAGTTGAAATGTATACACATAAAACAGTTCTAGATTACTATATTTTCTACATTCCTTTGACAAATTATCTAGTTTGAATATACTTTCTGCCTTTTGTTTGTGTTTGTCTTAATTCCTAGAACCCAATCTCTTGTTCCTTTTTTCTATCTTGTGCCAGTCCTGGGTCTTCAAATTGGCCTGGGTGCTGTCTCTGCCTGAACTTTTCTGCTCTAGGCTAGAGCTCTACCACTTGAGCCACAGCTCATTTGGCTTTTTTTGGGGGGGGGGAGGGTACCTAATTGCAGATAAAAGTCTAATTCCTGCTAGAATTGGTTTTGATTCAGAACCCTTAGATCTTAAAACTCTGGAGTAGCTAGGATTACACCAGTAAGCCACCAGTGCCTGGCTCTTGTTCCTTTTCATTAGTTTTTGTTTTACATTTTTTCATTTTAAAGTATAGTATTTCAATTACATAAACAAGTACAGAAAAATAACACAAACCAATACCCATGTATATAACCATCAAGTAATTGTTCACATTTGCTTGAGTTTATTATCTCCCTTTTTTTTTTTTCAAGCTGGTCTGGGGGTTTGAACTCAGAGCCTACAAGGCTGGTACTGTCACTTGAGCCACAGGACTTTTCTGGTTAATTGGTGATAAGACTCTCTCATATTTGTCTACCCAGGCTGTCTCTGAACCACAATTCGCTGATCTTAGCTTCTTGAGGTTACAGGCACAAGCCATTAGTGCATGGTTTCATCTTTTTCTTACTTTCTTTTTTTTTTTTTAAATGCCAGTCCTGAAGTTTGAACTCAAGGCCTGAGTGCTGTCCTTGAGTTTCTTTGCTCAAGGCTAGTGTACTGCTACCAGCACTTAAGCCACAGCCCCTCTTCTGGCTTTTTGGTGGTTAATTGGGGATAAGAGTCTCACTGGCTTTCCTGCCTGGAATACCTTTGAACTACGATCCTCAAATTTGAGCCTTCCAAGTAGCTCTGACTACAGGTGTGAGCCATCAGCACCTGACTTTCATCTTTTTTTTTTGGTTGGTTGTCGGGCTTGAATGCTGTCTTTCAGCTCTTTAGCTCAAGGTGAGCACTCTACCACTTGAGCCACAGAGCCATTTCTGGCTTTTTCTGGTGGTTTATTGGAGATAAGAGTCTCACAGACTTTCCTGCCTGGGCTAGCTTTGAACTGCAATCCTAAGATCTCAGGCTTCTGAGTTGCTAGAATTACAGGTGTGAGCCACTGGTGCCCGGCTCATCATCTATTTTTAAGTAGAAGTTTTTTGTTCACTCTAGTGCTTTGCTTTCCTTTCCTAAGGGAAAATCATAAATCTATAACTAATGTAATTTTTCCTTCTCCCTATAAGAATTATAAGTGGGTTTTTATTTTTTCTATTCTTGGTGTCTTTTATCATATACAAAATTTATACATAACTTTTCAGTGACAAAAGAAGTGCTTTCTTATTCTACCCCAATACAAATATTTTCTTAAACTTTTTGATAAGAATTTTACTTTTCATACTTAGGTATTTAGGCCATGTACAATGTACAACATAATCAAGTTAGCATCGACATGGGGGCTTCTCCCTTCCCCTTCCCCCCTCCCCTTCGTACCTAATTATTTCTAGCTAATTTAAGAGCAGATATCAGGTAAGACAATTATCCACATAAATTTTAGAATCTGCTTGCCAAACGCTACAAAAAATTATATTGAAGTTTTGAGTGAGAATGCACTGAATTTATATACCAATTTGGGAATGGTAGACATACACATAATACAAAATCTTCCTATCTGTGGACAGGCTCTTTCTCCATTTATTACTTTCAATAACAATTTTATAATTTTTTCCACTAAAATTTTACATATTTTCAGTAACTTTTATTTCAAGGCACTTTGTAGTATAAAAATCATTACAAAACCCTAGAAGCAGAGAGTAATTGAGGAGTTATATAGAATTGCAGGTAATAATAATAATCTAACATATACATTAGAGAGAAACATACAGTTTAGAGAACTATTTAGGTATTTGCAATGGACAGTTTTACTATTAATAAGTACTTAAAGTTGGAAGAGAATGAATTAAAATTAACTATGTAGACAGTTGGCATTAATTTGGATACAGAAGACAAAAATTTAGGCTAGGGTGATAATGGTTTTCTATTTGCTAAAAACATGAGTTTAAAGGTCAGAAATTTGGATAGGAGGTTTGAAAGTCATAGGAAATGTGGGCTAAGAAGATAATGTGCAACTCAGACACTGCACTCCTTAAAATTAATAGAAGCATAAATCTACATAAAATGTAATGTTCATAGGCAGCTTTATTTTGAATAGAGCAGACCTGGAAACAATCTAAATGTTCATTAACTGCTAAAAAAAAATAAACAACTCAGGCCATAGCCATATAACAGGATAGCAATACAAATGGACCTACTACCGAACACATAGTATAGATGGATATAAATATAAGTAGAACAAACAAGCCAAGCAAAAAAATTGTTCATATTGTGCATTACCATTTTTCAACCTTGAAGAAATTCAAACCAATTTAAACTGACAGCAAGCAGAGCAGTAGTTCCCTTTGCAGTTACAGAAATGAAAAGATAGGCAGAAGAAAATTAAAAGGAGTCATAGAAACTTTTGTCTATGACTGTGGTACTAGATTCGTTAGTCTCTGCATATTGAAATGTATCAATGCTTTTACATTAAATATTACAACTTATCTCAATAAGATTCGTAAAAGGTCAAAAAAAAGAGGTAGGGTTGGACTGGAAGGTAGCTCAGTGGTAGAGCACTTGCCTTGCACGCATGAGGCCCTGGGTTTGAGGATTCGATTGCTCAGCACCACATAAGCAAAAAGAAAAAAAAAAGCTGGAAGTGGCGCTGTGGCTCAAGTGGTAGAGTGCTAGCCTTGAGCTGAAAAGCTGAGGGACAGTGCCCAGGCCCAGAGTTCAGGCCCCACGACCGGAACCCCCCCCAAAAGAAAAAA